CATTAAACATTTTTAATTTATTTATCTTATGCCCACAATTATATTTTTTGAATTGTCTATTTTTGTTATTGTTTATGTTGAATATATATATTTGTGTTGATAAGCCTGAGTGGTCTGTTGACTGACCTTTGTATTTGTTCAAATAATAGTTATAGGCAGGTTACAATATAAAAATGTTTGTTATAATCATGTCTTCTGATTAGTTGACAGGAGTTTTACTTTTAAACTGTAAGTGTATTAATTTAGTTATGTTAGTTATGATAGTTTAGTCATGATGTAAATACAATAAAAATTAAACCAAGATTTATAATAATTATCATTTTGATCCATTAGTAATGTCTGACTGGACCTCGTGTCACTTTATGTTCAATAAACTGGGCCCTGAGGTGAAAAGGTTAAGAAGCTCTGGTTTAGGAGAATGATGATGATGATGATGATGCTTAGGACTGTAACTGCACACAGCTGAGTCTTCTGGTTTGTAGAAGTTGACAGATGAAGTCCTGCTGTCTTTGCCAGCACTAACATGTCCCTGTGTGACCAGGATTAGACCAGGACCAGGTCTGATTTACCCTTAGCTCTGCTCCAGACCAAGCACAGGAGAAAACTGCTCTTGTTCTGTAATTGTTAGAGATTTTAAAGATAAGCATGCTTCAGCGTCTTGCATCCAGCTCTTAGTTTTTGATGTATGATGTGCGTTTCCTGAGTTACTCACCATCTGTCACTACCTCCCATTGATGCTGACCGACCCTCCCCCTCACTGCTCATCCTGAGTGGCTTGACCTCAATATGAAGCGTAGATCGTGTATTTTTGCTTCCAGTAAATTGGGTTAAGTTTGACTCAGTCCAGCAGAAGCTCGTCACGTGTAATACATTGTTTTTGATTGCAGTTAATTAATGACAGATTGAGTTTCAGCTGGTTAATTGTCGTTGTGTAATGAAAACAAACATTTTGTGTTTGCATTCACTGACCTGAACTTTTATTTATTTAACAAAATGGCTTTTGGCGTGTCAAAGAGTGGGCTTCAGGAGTGTTTGGACCCGACACGGAGTTCTTACACAACTTGTTCCAGTTTGTGAGGTGTTGTTCTGTGTAGGTATGTTAAATCCAGTTCACATGACTCCTGGGCTTTGTGTGTACCAGACTGTCTACAGGAGTCCTTTGGTGCTGAGGCTGGTGCACACTTACAGACTTCTCCTCCACTTTATTTATTATTGTTATGAATTACAAACCATCCTTCTGATTAATCCAGGTTTTCTTTTTTTATTATCTCCCAACAATGCTTTGTGTCTTAACTCAGTATCTAATGTTGGCTGTTCTGTTGGGAGGTTAGTAAACTTACTAACTAGAAATGATTAGACTTGATTTTTCCTTTTGTTTTGTCACTAAGATATTTTAATCAGCACGSTGTGTCTCTTTATTAAATCATCTTTGATCTGTACTTTTAGTTTTCTGATTTCTTAGAAAATAAACAAATATGGGCCAGTTTCACACAGTTGGTACATATTTTTACTTTTAAATTGTGTAGTAGGTCATTATTTACCGTACTAATATTTGCTTCTATGTAAAAAGAAACATAAAAGAAAGAATTGAATGAATGCAGCACAGGCATGACTTTATGGTTTTGTTGTAAGAAAACAAAAAAAAGTCTGAAACTGTCAGAAAATCAGCTCATGACCAAGGTTTAATTTGTTAAGTTTAAATAAAATCCTGATTTTAATAAGATTAAACTGTAATTTCCCTTTGGGATCAATAAAGTATTTTTGAGTTTTTGTTTTTGAAAGGTTAAACTTCAGGCCTGTGCAGCATATCATCCTGGTAAATGTGTTCTCTGTGGTTAGGGAAGGCTGATCTATCAAATATCAACTCAGTGAAGAATTTTGGAGTTTTTACATGGGAAATATGGTACTTTTATCTACAATTAATTTGAGATCCCCCATCATCAGAGACCTTTGAGGGGAATTGGAAATCTCTCTCTGTTTTGTCAGCTGAATAATTTGTTAAATCGATGAGGTACTGACTTACTTTTTTGTACATCTACTGTAGACATAAGAAAAGTTGCCTTCAAAAACTGGGTTACCAAGTCAAAATCCAAGAAGACCACCACCATGTAAACCAGCCACCCTAACATTTAAAGAAACAATGCTTTCTCACTTTTACATTGCCTTAACTGATAGTTTCCTCAAATGATAGTGGTGGCCGGTGGGGTGGACGAAGATTAATCTATGGTGGCTCTGACCACCATATATTAATCTATGGTGGTCAGARCCACCATAGATTAATCTATGGTGGCTCAGGATGAACTTGTTTTTACAGCAGAGTTTTTATTGTAATCTTGAAACAAACAAAACAACACAGTGATGAGATGAGGGAGGCKGGGTCATTCAGGTATTTTTCATCTACAAATCAAATCTCTCTGACACCTGTCTGTCAGGGTTGTGTTTAAACGACACCTGAATGCTTGTAAAACTGTTAATATTATCACAAAGTCCAGTTTGCATCTTCCTAACTGAACTGAACTTGTTCCTAATCTTTTCTATGACCTGCTCTTTCACAGATGATGTGCGAGGTAATGCCCACCATCAGCGAGGCCGAAGGGCCCGGCGGGGGAAACGGCAGCGGGCGGCGAGGCTCGGGCTCCCCTCTGCAGTCTGACTCTGAGGGTCACTTTGAGTCGTTGATGGTGTCCATGTTGGAGGAGAGGGATCGCCTTCTGGACACTCTGAGAGAGACTCAGGAGAATCTGGGCCTGACCCAGGGCAAACTGCACGAAGTGAGCCACGAGAGGGATTCCCTGCAGCGCCAACTCAACACTGCTTTACCACAGGTCAGTGCGTGGTCACTGTGTGTGGTCACGTTTTTATTTCCACGTCAGTGTGTGGTCACATTATTTCCACAGGTCAGTGTGTGGTCACGTTTTTATTTCCATAGGTCAGTGCGTGGTCACAGTTTGTGGTCACGTTTTTATTTCCACGTCAGTGTGTGGTCACATTATTTCCACAGGTCAGTGTGTGGTCACGTTTTTATTTCCACGTCAGTGTGTGGTCACATTATTTCCACAGGTCAGTGTGTGGTCACGTTTTTATTTCCACAGGTCAGTGCGTGGTCACAGTGTGTGGTCACGTTTTTATTTCCACAGGTCAGTGTGTGGTCACGTTTTTATTTCCACAGGTCAGTGTGTGGTCACGTTTTTATTTCCACAGGTCAGTGCATGCTTACAGTTATTTAAAAAAAGAGAAAGTACTCCACGTGTACACAGTTCTTTTCCACGATGCTTCAGTTAATTATGTTTGAGGAAATGTTTAGAAACTAAAGCACAACTTGTGAAAAATAACCTGTAATGTTGACGTAGTGAGTGTCTGTCTGTAGTTAGACATCACTACATTGGATTGGCTGATCTCTGCAGAAATCCTGTTCCTGCTACCTGTTGTCTTGTGGAAGAGTTAGCTAAAGTGCTAAGCTAACATTAGCTTGCTCCTCTGATTTGATAGTTATTTTGTCGCACAGTTTTTGCCTTTGCTGACAAAACTAAAAGGTTGTTCATGCAAACTGCTTTTTCATAAATGTATTTTTCTGCACAGCCTTGACTTTCTATTATTAGTTTCTGAGATTCTGTCTGCCTTTTATGCTTTATAAAAATTATAAATTTTATAAAAAAGTGTTTATTTTGTGCAGAAGCAAACGGGACAACTTCTGTGTCTGAACAAAACAGAGTAACAGATTACTGWGGTTTTAAAACAAGGAGGTACTTCCAACTTTAACATAACATACATGTTTTTATAATGTAGGATGGAACCCAAATACACAAGCTCCTGACTAACCGCTGCACACCTGTGCAACCCCTGAGTGTAACAGTATACATTATATATTATCAGGAAACAGTAGAGCGTTCAGGCTTCTTTTAGCTTGACTTTGCATATCTTTAGGTTGCTTCCAAGTCCTTCCAGTAATTAGTTRGTGGTAGTGGTCCTGTCAGTGAAGTAGAGACCCTGTCTTTGTCCATGTGTGTACAGGTTTTTGTTCTATGACTCTCTGGTGTTTTACCCTGCAGGGTTTTATATTCATAACAAAGAGTTCAAGTTTCCACCTTTAAATTATGCATGAGAGAACACAGCACAGGTCTGATCATCTGCTAAATATTGTTGCAGTTCTTCCTGAACATGTTTGCATTACTAACTTATATATTTCAGAGCTGACTGAGAGGAGATGAACCCTCAGAGCAGATGTGGACAGCTGCTGTGTGGACAGCATGGACTAGATTGAGCTCTACTTTCCTTCAACATTCACTCCTTGATTATTACATCTAAATTACAGACTTTAAACACTAAGTTTCATTCTTCTGTTTATTTTAGAATAGACTGTTTATAAATGTGTAATAAGT